TTTAGAAAGTGCGAATAATTCTCAAACCTTGGCCCAGACCCATTCAATCACCAATACTTCCCATTGATTTTAAAAAACCTGGAAGAGTTGGCAACTTCCAATTTAAATGTATTCTCCTTGCAGATGTTACAGAATTTAATTCCAAGTACTTTTCATCCTGTGGAGCAGCAGCTTTAGTCATTTCAGAAAAATCACTATAAGAAGGTTTAGGCGTTTCATAATGTTCCCTCAATTGCTTTTCATAATCAATATGTGAAGATGATTCTTGAGGTTTTATTAATGGAGACCCAGGTCTTCTATCAAATTGAGCAAAAGATCTAGCAATTGGGACATTCCCTCCATATTGGCGTTGATAAAAATCGTGATCTGACAAAAACAGGAAGTGAAATAATTTCTTTTAGATTAGAAGATAGGGTTAAAAGGTGAATTTAGAGACAAAGAGGCACTAGTTAATATTTTGTGGTATGGCAGGCCTGTAAGACTAGATAACAGAAATCCCCCAACATTACTTCAAAAATTTAAAAAAAAAAACAAAAATTAAACTAACTTGACCAGGGTTGGTGATGCACAGCAGACCGCCAATCTTCTCCAGGTACTCTCCAAGTACCAACTTCTCTATGATTCCATTGTGGTCCAGCAAGAGGAGGAGGAGGAGCACCAGCACCAACTCTTCTATCCATATAAGGATCAGGTGGATGTCCATGAAGTGGCATTCCATAAGGTTGAATAGGTGGTGGAGGAATTGGCATATTATGCCTAGGCGGTGGCCACATTTTTTACAAAAACTGAAATTTAAAAAACTAATTAACAGCTCTAAAAAATAGAAAAAATGGAAAAAATAACCAAATGTTTAAACGATCAAAAGAAATATTTTCCCTTAGTTAACACTTTGACATAATTATTTTAAAATATTTCTAAACACCAAATTACAAAAGAATTAATTTAGAAAATCCACACAAACAAGAAGAGGAAAACCAGAGGAACAACAAAAATAATTTAACAAAAAACCCTAAAAAATTCCAAACTTTAAAGGTTATCAAATTTTTAACAAAAAAAAAGTAAAAAAATAATATTTTCAGGCTGCTTCACATTTTTTCTTCTTCACATCATCACAATTATTTAAATATCCCTCCAATTTAAAAACCATTTTTTCTAATCTTATTGAAATTTCCTTTGTTCCAAAAAATTTAACAAGTTCATGAATAGGTGGTCCAGATATATTATCAATTATTGCTAATCGAAAAAGACTGAAAGAAAAAAATTATTAATTAAAGAATTTTGTTAAAATTTCAGTCAGACCCCCCCCCCCCCCCGGGGCTTAAAAATCGGATTGATTTTATAAAAGTTTGTATCTTAAACAGGGAGGATATCGCTTAAAAATAGAAAAATATTTTGCGGACAACCCGCCCCGCTTCTTATTTACACTAATAGCGAGATCCGCAACAAAAAAAATTAATTTAAAACAAACGTAGTTATTTTTCCTGCAGAAAAATCTTCTTCTTCCTTCGCTAACAATTTAATTTGTTCAAAATTAATTTTATTATTATCCAATTTTGAATATTCCAACAATTTATTCAAAATTTTCAAAACTTTTTTAATATCATCTTGAAAATATTTGACAATTTTTTCTGACGAATTTGGTGTCATAAAAAAGAATTTAAAGTCCCCAGTTGTTATGTCAGACATTTTACAAAATTTTTCTTCATTTAAATGTAAAAATGAAATTACTTTATTAAAATATGAAGAAGTTAATAATTGTGGATTTATTGAAGTTTTTGTTGTCTAAAAATTTTTTTTAAATTTATACGACACTGTCTAGGATGTCAAGTCCTAGATTAGGTGTTTTTCCTGGATTAAAAGTTATTTTTCCAAGATTTCCAGATTGAGAAATCTGGTCAAGATTGGAAAAAACTTGAACGTATGTTAACCAGATTTCTTGACCATCCAGAAAAGATCAAGGAACCGCGAAAAATAAATTTAAATCCAGGAAAACTAAAGGCTAATCTAAATCTAGGTCTCCCTTACTATTCATGATTAGGAGGCCGTCAAAAATCCAAAAAAAAAAAAACTCAAATCAAGAATTGAACTAAAGAGTCACAGATATAGACTACTTATTAAAGGTGTGTAAAAAATTTCAAAAGCGGACAGTCTCTTACTAACGGACACAAATGCGTATTCATTAAAATATTTTTTCCAAAACCCTGATGAGCTAGATCCCTCAAAAAACCCCGAATTAAAAAAATATTTTAGAAAAAACCTCTGGAAGAAGAGAAAATTGTTTTTTAATACAAGGAAGCAAATCTTTTTCAAAATCACTAGCTTGAAAAGCCATTCTTCCATAACGATCTAATTCTTTCAAATCTAACATAAAAGTACTTCTACCAATTAAATTTTGATCAAAATTTGTAATCATTTCATCAATTGTATAAAGTTTGTGTAAATTATATTCTTTAATTCCACTTCCATTTCGTAATAAAAAATTTAAAACAGCTAAAGGGAGATAGCCAAAATTTGTATAATAACTCTTTAAAAATATATAAAAAAATATTTTGAGAAGAAAAAATTTTTTTAATAAATTTGCGGAACTTAATTTTGTGTACAATTAACAGTCCTCTCACAGGACTCGAACCTGAGACATATGTATTTATTGACTCATATTTTTATATATTATGTCGGCGGCCAAATTACATTTTTGGACAAATTCAATTTGACCGGCCAAATTGAATTTGTCCTCGGACCCGTATATGTACTCGTAGTTTAGAACCTATCTATTGCATACTATAGAAATGAAATCAAACTTCTGTTATTATTTTAATAAATTTTTCCCGAAATTATAATTAAAGTCCCAAAACAACCCATATTAAATTTAATAAATTTTAATTAAAAAATTCTTGTATAGAAAATATACCACAAATGCATGCGATTTTCTTTTTGACAATTTATTTTTTCCATCCTCAGTAATTAAAGGTAAATGTGTAAATCGCGGTTCCTTCCAATTAAAAGCTCTAAAAATTAAAAAAAATTAAATTAAAAAACAAAAAACATACTCATAAAGTTTTAAATGTTTTGGTGTAGATAAAAGCCATTCTGATCCGCGAATTACATCTATGTATAAAAAATTTTTTAAATCACCACTTCGAAGGAAATTAGTGTCCTAGCGACATTTGCGAACATTCGTGGATAGGTGACATTTGAGGTTAAGTAATGATTGCATACAAATTTTTGTGTATCCGCACATTTTATTGGGGTGCCCAAATATAGATTTACTAGTTTCTAATTACGTTAGTCAAAAAATACCACTAATTTCCATATAATGGTCATCTACAACATTAGCAAAGTGATAAGTTGGAAAGCCATCACGTTTTAAAATAATAAAATCAACCTCGTCCCAACTTGTAGAATAAACACCAAAAACTGTATCCTAAAAAGTACAGATATTCCCAATTTCCACATTTTGAAAAGGTCAAAAAATTCCGAATGTTTTATGTCCCATTTGCATGGAAATTTAGGATATTTGCGGACAAAATTGTGTGTATCGAACAGGGATGGGCCCGGTTACCCGAACCTTAAAAAACTTTTTTTTCCGATCTAAAAAACCCCGATCCAATGAACATTTTAAAAACCATGATCAACTTTTTTTCTAACTGATATAAGCCCTCCCTCAAAAAATTAGAAATAAAACCTTAAAAGACATTTCACCAGCATCATATTTAAATCTAACAACAGGTATTTCACCATTTTTTTCACGAGCAGCAATTTCTTCTTTTGACAGATTTCGACAATGGCGGTCATAACGAGGAATTTTCTTTTCATTTAAAGCTTTGCGTCGAAGAATATCAAGTCTCTAAAAACTAAAAGAAGATAAAATTTGCCAAAACCGGTACTAAAATGTTCCCTAGAAAAAATGAACAGCAAGTATTTTTCGATAGTTTGGAGGTTTGCCAGTGAGTAATCGAGTGTATTGAGTCGAAATATTAGCTTGGAAATTGTCTATCTCGAATCCCGATCCCAAATTCGACCATTTCGAATTAGGATCCGGGATTTGAAATAAATAGAAGTAGAACTTATATTCGGACCCGGCACACTCAATTACCTACTGCCAACCATCAACAATATCGAAAGCGCCTTCTTGATCATTTTTCCTAGGGAAACAGGAAAGCAGAAGACAACCAAAAAACCCGCACAAATTTTTCCCAAAAAAAGTCAAAAAAACCTCAACAGAACAAAAACATTTGTAAGCTTTATTCTCTTCTATTAGCCTCTCAACTTCATTTTTATAAATTTCACATCTCTCAGATTGTACATAAGGACCAAAATTTCCATCAATAGAAGGGCCTTCATCCAAATTTAAGCCAAAATATGACAAAACATTTTCAAACTAAAAAGAAATTTTTTAAAGAAAATTAAAAAAAACCTCATTTTGTGTACCCTCTACCAATCTGTCCCGGTCAGTATCTTCAATTCTTAATAAAAATGATCCTCCATATTTCTTGGCAAATAAATAATTAAAAAGTGCTGTTCTTAATGAACCTTTAAAAATAAAAAAATTTTTTGATGGTTGGCCCATTCTGTCCCCAAATTGGCTTAGTTATTCGAGTTTAAGGATTTTTTCCCAAATAAATGAATCGCCAAGGGTCAGGCAAGTAGCCAGGAAAATTATCGGAAGGTCTATTTTTTAAAAAACCTAAATGCAATTGTCCTGTTGGTGACGGAGCAAAACGAACGCGAACATTGTCATAATTATTCGACGATTCAAGAGAATAATGACGAACATTTTGAATTAAAAAAGAAAATAAACGTCGGTAAATCATTAAAGTTTCGCTACAATTGCGGAAATAGAACATCTGCTGTAGCTAAAATTGGAGAAAAATAAAATTTAATTAAAAAATACTTTGTGGGCAAAACCAACTATAAAATAAACACAATTTTTATAAAACAAAAAAATTTATATAAAATACAAAAAAAGGAACTAAAAGCACCTCAATAAAATCATTAAAACATTACAAAATCCCCTCAATTGTCATCCTTCTCCTTTCTCTAAATAATTCTAACCAACGTTTATTTCTAACTTCAGGGTCTTCAGAAAGCTTTAAAAAAATTTTAATTTTCTAAATTATTCAAATTTTTATACTTTTTCATGTGCCAAAGGAAATCTGCTTGCCGGGGGGACAGTTGTTGTTTCTTCCTTCTTATTCTCCTCCTTATTTTCATCCTTATCTCGTTTTTTGCCAACCTCCTTTTTATTTTTAGACTTTTCTGCAATTTGTTTACTCGCCCATAGAGGTCCAAACATTGCACGATCGTGATGGGTTGTAGAAGAAGATGTAAACAAATTTGTGGTGTTCTCAGAACTTTTGGTTGTAGTGGAAGACTTGAAAAATAAAAAAATGAAAATGTATATAAAAAGAGAAATAATTTCAACTCCCCGTCCGGGCTGGACGCAATTTAAAAAATTCCACATCCAGGATTTTAATTTTAAAATCCACAAACGTAATCAACAAATCACAAAAACAAACAATTCGGGCAATCTTCACTTAATATATGCACTTTTTTCTCCGTGGTCAAAACATTTCGTATATGGCGTCATTCGAAAGAAAAAGGGGGATAACAATAAGCACCGAACATTTTAAAAAAAAACTAACCATTCTAGCCGAATCCGCATCTGATTTGAACGAACAAGGATTAAAACCAGGCTCTTCAATCCGTTCAATGGCAGCATGGCGGGAAACGGAGTCTAATATTTCTGAAGCATCTGAAGACAAAAAGGTTAGAGAAATAGTTGAAACAAAAACCTTGTTTTTCCTGTCGAAGTCGTATGGCCTGAGAATACTCTGAACTTCTTCCGCTATCTATTGCTTCGTTTAGAGATGACTTTAAGCGATTCTTGGCTTTCTCAATTCCTTTCTGTATCTCATTCTTTGAACTGAAAATTTGGCCTAACAATAAGTGTACTTTACGGGGGATTTTAGATTTGGACAATTTATGTGAATCGAAAAAGCTCGACGAGCCGAGCCGAACATTTTCAACTAAAAAGTCCGTTTGTAGGTATATACTTACAAATAAGTACATTTTCAATTACGTAGGTTTGAAGGTCACTCCGGAAATAAGTACAAATGTCACCCCTGTTTTAAACAAACCTGGAATCATCGTGTTTATGCCGCCCATCCTTTTTTGACCTTCTAGGGCTTTTACTTCGATCTGATCGCCTGTCACGTTCACGTCTTCGAGATGAAGATGATTGAGAATTTTTACTGCTCATGGATAATAAAATAAACAAACTGAAATTTAAAAATTTTTAAGAAAAATTCAATCTAAAAATTCTAATAGCCAAGTTAAAATCCGGTTTTGTTGGGAATCTATTTGGGGAAAATCTTTTGAGGGCTTTCGAATGGTATATTTTCATTTAAATTTGATCAAGCACAAAAAAAGCTATAGCCGAACAAAGTCGGCCAGTGCTAAACGGCCGCGCTCAACTAACCCAAACAAAGGACTGTGCCGTCCTCAGATTTTTTACAACTTCGCGTTCCATTTCCGCTTTTTAAAATCCGAGAGAGCCTATTCCCGTCTTAGACCCTCCCTCTTCCTTAGCGAAAAAATCGAATTATAGAACCAAATCAATAACTTTTAAATTACCAAAACAAACAAAATTATACAATTTTTAAATAATAATAAAGGAAGGGAAAAAATACTGGAAAAACAAATCAAATTAATAAAAGACAAAAAATCAGGTAATTTTCTCCTTTTTTTCTTCTTCTTCAGTTTTTCCATCAACAATCAAATTTTGGGATGAACTCGAGGATGTTTGTTTGATTTCATATATTCCTGAGAAAAAAAAGAAGGGAATTAAAAAATAAATTTAAAATGACATGTTCGGAAATTATCATCCCCTCACCCTTGTACTTCTTGGTGACGGATTGAAAAGTCGGGTCGGGATTCTAGTTAGTTTTGAGAAATTTCTTTAACCCGTCCCATCCCTGATACCAATACCGGCTGGCATTCAATTTATAATCCCCGTTCAGTCTAGTGAAATATTAAAGGAGGGTACCAAAGCGGTAATCCCATTTTCGATCTATTCGATTCATCAGCTAAAAACTCAAATCCGATAAATAATTGGCATTATTCAAAAATTTGTTTGTAAGGGGGTGAGAAAAGTAAACAACTTTAAAAAATAAATTTAAAAAATTATTTTCTTACATCAAGTTCTCTATCCATTTCTGCGACAGTTTTTTTGAGACGTCTGTCATTTCGTCGATTTCTTCGGAAACCTCCACCCTGACCAGAAATCCAATTTCCTCCCCCACCGCCTCCATACCAAGCCCTCCAACCTCCAACAAACCTTCCACGAAATGATCGCTTAAAAGCAAAATTGTTTCGAATTGGGCGGCGAAGTGCAAATTCGGACGTCATTCTAAAATTGGAAATATTTAAAAATTGATTTTAAAAGATTGAAAAAACCGAGGACGAAAACTGAGTCGTTGTTGAATGGGTCTTCGTGGTGAATCATTATAGAGCTAAAAGATTAAATGTTAAAGTATGGTATGAAGGGTGTGGGGTAAGTTTGAGTTATGGTTGTGAGGCCGATATAAACACAATAAATTTCCTTGGGGAGGCAGGGTTTAGAGCAGTATAAATCATGGGCGGGAGCTCGAGATGGAACCCCAATTTAAAAACCTATTTAATAAAGTCTTCAAATGTTAACACAAACATTTCGATCACAAAAAATTTCCCAACAAAAAATAGCCTCACTTAAAAATAAATTTAAAAGAAAAATACATTGGATCTTGGTCGAGGTGCATAATCATTTGGAAAATCATATTCTTCATCAATATCATCCAAATCATAATTGTGTACTCGAGAAGAAGAATAAAATGGCCGACGAATACGCATCTTCTGATAAACGTTGTAATCATCAAGTGTGAGATTAACAGGATTTAAATTGTTTAATTCAGATAAACTTTCAAAAGGTTCACTACTACAAGTACGGAAGCGACCACCACCAGAATGATGATATTGGGAAGGTGGTGGACGATATTGATCATGTTCTGAGAATTCGCCATATAATTCATTGTCCTATAAAATAATATTGATTTCTTGTTAAAAAATAAAATTTATTTAATCAAAAAAAGTTTAAGAAAGAGAATTAGAAAAACTTAAAGAATAAAAGCAGTCTTATTGTTAGCTAGGTAGCCGAAAACCTCAATATTTAAAGTGATGCCTTCCAATAAATTCAGTAACTCATACTAAAACAACACACCAAGCCTTTGGCAAGTTTGTAATAAAAAGAAAAAATAGATTAAAAAAGTTGAGGATACTCAATCAAGATAATCAGACTAATTCAAATTCAAAGCCAAAAACACAGCCCAAGTTACCAAAGGTCCTGCAGTCTTGGTAGGAGTTGCTGACATGACGATTAG